TACCTCTTTACTCGGGAATTTCCAAGTGGGTTTCTGTCACCTCGGTTCCTTAGTCTTCTACGCCCGGTGGACTTATCATGGGTTTGTACCGAAGTCTTATGCAACACCGGTAACATTCCTCTATGTATGTGTAACGTTACACTTCATATAGATGCCTTGAGCTCCCAAAGCCAGGGGGACCCAGCCTGGTGTACCTGGGTAACAGCCACATGAGGCCAACCAATCGACAGGAGACAGTTACCATAATACAGATATAATTTCCAAATTTCGTCGTAGGTAGGATTTGAACCTTAAACCTGCCACTTGGAGGATGACAACCTAACCACTACACTAGGATCACCATCCTCTGTTTGGAGCATTTATATAAAATATAATATTATATATATATATAAAAATGTTATAATTAGTATTATATAAAATTTTAATACAAATTTGCAATAAAATCATCAAGTATAAAAAGCAAAAAAACTGAAAAGTCAGAAGTTTACTTAGAAATTTCTGAGTAAAGAGATAGTATGAATTTTTAATAATATTGACAAATTAATAAAAGTTTATAAAATATTTTTAAAGAACAGACTATAGATGCAGAAAATTGCTAACATATCATTATGTCAAAAAGATGAGTAGATATGTCAAAAGTGTCAAAACAGTGTTTGTCATAATAGTCAATATTTGTTGCAACTAAGCTTTTAATCATAACTATAGTATTAGACATGATATAGACTGTGATATATGTAATTTAAATTTCATGAATACATAATTTTAACTTTCATAAATATGTAATTTAGCTTGAAAAATAAAATAAATTGATAAACATAATTTAACTTGAAACATAAATAAATTAATTTAGCTCTCTTGAAAATAAATAAATCATACAAAAATCGAAACTGCTATTTTTTTCTAACATGCCTTTGATTAATGAAACAGATTCTAGCAATTTTACACCATTAGAACCCTGCAATGATCATGATGTTACTTTGCTGTCAGAATCTGAAAATAACAATGATCAATCTCAAAAATGAAACAGACGGAGTGGATCTGTTTTTGACAAAGTATGGGACTATGTTATCAGGTGCGAGAAAGTAAATCCAGGGCACTATAAAGCAGAATGTTATCATTGTGAAAATGTTTGGCAGAGAAGTAAACCTTGCATTTTAAGGTCCTATCTTGCACTTCATTGTTTGAATGTTCCTGAGGATATTCGATCTTATTGGTATAATAAACTTATAAGCAATAATAATGCTAATAAAAGAGATTCTTAACTACTACTACAAGTTAGCAAGAATTATGATGAAATTCTTTTAAGAACTTGGATTATGACTAATATTCTATTCAAAGTTATTGAAAATCCATATATTAAGAATCTCTTTAAAAGTCTTAATTCCACATATGTATTGTCATCTCATACAATATTATTTGGACGATTACTTGATGAAGAATTTGCATGTATAGAAAATAATATCAATGATGAGTTGGAGAATACAGAATGTTTGACACTAAGTATATATAATTATATTTAAAAATTTTTCAAAAACATTTTTTTTGAAATTTTTTTAATTTATTTTAGTGCTTGACAGGTGGACTTCAAAACATGGAGAATCACTGTACAATTACATCATAATGACTATAGAGTGAAAGGAATATCTTATTTCTTTGTGCAATTATTCATCAGAATCACATACAAGCAATTTTATTGCTTCAAAAATTTTAGATATAATTGAATGTATTGGACCTCAAAAGTTTGCTGCTATCATTACTGATTCAGCAGCAAATCTCAAGTCTGCCAAAGAAAAAATTCAAACCAAATATTCGCATATAGTAAATATTAGGTGTATTGCACACGCCATTAATCTGATAGCAACAGATTTATCAAAAATTTATAAAATAAAAATATTTATTGATCAATGTAGAAAAATCATAAAGCACTTTAAAAATCATCTCAAAAACTGGCATTATTATGCCAAGGGTTATTAAGTATAAAAATACGATCTGAAGGTTTAGAATCATGGTGTCAAACTTGCTGGGGATCATTGTATGATACTACAAATTTAATATTGCTCACATGACCTGTGTTTGACTTAGTAATTTTTTTTATTATACAATTTATATTAATATATGCATATATTGTATAAGTACATAATATTACTTTGTATTATATAGATAATTTTTGAACACCCATATATTATTACAAATATGAAAGTTTTTAGCTTATTAAGTAAAGAAGATTTTTTTATTAAATGTTGACAAATTTGATCTATATGGAAGCTGATAAAAACCTGTATTAATGTTTTAGAAGCAGGTTCAGCAAATTTGGCAGATTGCTATATAAATATGATAAAGTTAGCTGTTACAATCTACCAAATCCCTGAATCAAACTCATTTAAACCTGTTACTGTTCAAATCTTTAATCAACATTACTTAGAATTCCAATATCCTTTATATATTTTGAGTTATTATCTTTATCTGTTTTATCATGATATGTGTATTAAAATATTACACAACATAATTTAATTTTTATATTATTAAATTTTTTTTTAACTTAGAATTGGGACTTCAAAATAAGGCATTTCGCAATACTGCTATAGCTGCATCAACATTATAAAAGGATCTAGAACATTCAGCCCAAAGGTGTAAAGAACTAATCTCTCAATTTCGATATTATGATGCTAACAAAAAACCATTTAACTTATCTTATATTCAAGAGTTTAATACACCTATGCTGTGGTGAGGATTTATAAAAAGTTGACCTAATCATCTTTCTAAGCTTGCACAAAGGCTTTTTAGCATTTTACTTTCTCAAGCTAATTGTAAAAGAAACTTTTCAACTCTTAAATGGTTTATTGGAGATAAACGAACTCATTTTGGAATTGAAAAACTTGAAGGAATAGCAAAAATTAGGTTTTATCATATGGCAAATATACAAAATAAACTTACTTACTTTGATACTGAGTTAACTGAATTTGAACTATGTGAAATGATTAAAATTGCAACAATCAATGATTATATTACAAATGAAAAGGAATTAAATAAAAATAATGAAAACGTATATGAAGAAATCCCAAATTTATTATCTTAAACTAATATAATTTTAAAAGATTTTGTAAATTTGTGGGATCCCATCTTTCAAGATAGAGAAATTACACAGTTTGAATTTTTTACTGAAATTGCAGACTCCAATATTGAAGATAACATTGATACGAACTTTAATTCTGAGGAACTTGTTGATATAGTTTTAAGTGTTGAATTATAACTTAAATAATTACTATATTTAATATAATAAAGCAGACAAATTTGTATTATAAAAATTCAAAATTTAATTACATAAAACTAAGTATCTGATCCATAACAAAGTAAAACTATAACCCAAACCAAACTAATAAACTATCATTAAACCTATCGTTATCAACTATTATTCATTTGTAATCACTAAACTATATTTTAATTATTTGCCATAAGTCATGTAACTAAGTCGTTAATGCAAGAGAAGAACTCCAATCTCGATTCAACATATCTTAAGTTCAAGTTAAGTTATATAAGAGAAGACAAGAGAAGGCAAGGGTTAATAGAAGAATTGGTTAAAAAAGAACTTAGAAGAGAAGACTAGTACTTATCTACAGATAAACCTATCAGCCAAATCTAACATGCTGCTTTTGACTCAGCCTTCATTAGTTACATGAAAATTGGAAAACAGACTTGCTGATTTACTGAATAACAATATTTTATTTTATAATGTACATTCTGAATGAAAAGTTTTTTTTGTTTGAGAATTTGCATTATATAATATTAATGCATTATATAATAAAGAACTATTTACAATTCATTCTCATTTTAGTGAAGTGACTCATTTCATTAGTAAAAGTATTAATGATTCATTATATCAAAGGCCTATTTCAGAAAAATTTTAAATAGACTGGTTTTGATGCTTTTTAATTAGTCTTCATATCGAATTTTCTCTATGACAATAATTAACATCATGAATATTATGGCACACATTTGAAGTTACGACATAAACCAATATTATGGCATATATCTAATATTATGACAAACGTCAGTTGTAGCTTTTTGACGTATCAGTCATGTTCTGAGTTACAACAGTGAATATTGCAGAAAGATTATGTTACTGATCAATTTTCTGCACCTATAGAACAGACAGATAAATTAAATAGCAAGATGTATAAAGAAAAATATAACCAACTAAGTTGTTAGATTCATCAGAGAAAAGAAATACTAAAATATATTATTTCAAGCTATCTGAATTGAAAGTTTAAAGAGTTCTGTTAGTTTTAAATAATAGTAGAAGATAATAAAGAAGATATTAGAAAGATAGATACTAAAGTTCTAGTAAATTTTACAAAAATAAAAATAGTATAATATAGCAGTTAAATAAGTAACTTTTATGATTGCAAATATTAGAAAACTATAAATATATATAAAACTAAATTAGCTATATATAAGATATAAAAGATTTTAGTAAAATTTTTGTTAATAATAACATAGTTCTAAGAGCTTTAAAGACATCAAATACTTTAAATAGGTATAGCTTTAAAGATATTATTATAATATAAATTAGAATTACATATATATAAGATTTAAATAGACAAGACTTGTAGTTGGCTTATAAGTATAATATATATAGAACTTGTATAATAATATATAAGCAGACTACTTAAATTAAATACTAAAAGTCTATATATAGCTAGTTATAACCTCTTATATATAGGCTAAATACTAAGAAAAAAGATAAAGTTGACAAAAAAAAAATCTTTGGAAATTAATTTTTATGTTGTAAATCTTATAATAAATTATAGAAAAATGCAAACTTTAAGAAGCTATGTTACAAAATTTTATTAATATAACTACTTTTGAGTCTTAAATAAAAAATAATTTTAATCTTATTTTAAATTAATTTATATAAAAAAATAGCTTTTAAAAAAAGTGTCAATTTTGTTCCTTTTCTTAGCACCTAGTCTATATAGATACTCTTAAAAACATCCATGTTTAAAAAAAATTAAATAAAAACATTAATTTTCAAAGACAGAAACTTTAACTAAAAAAAAACAAAGTTGTTTAGCTTATTTTAACTACTGTATTATTTTGATATATAATTAATTTAAAATTAACAATTATATAGTAAAAATACTTTAAAAACTATACTCTATTTTTGTAAATTTTTTTTTACTTTTTTGAGAAGAATTCTGGTTTTTCAGAATGTTCTAGATCTGCAAATCTATATTACTAATTAATATTACTAATCTACTTATACAAATTTAACTTTATTTTATTTATTTTTAATTTTTACTAATTTAATCTTAAGGGTTTAGATTCTATAGCTTAGCAGATAAGCATCCAACTCTTTATAGACAAAGTCAATGGTTTGAGTCAAGCTGAAAACAATTTTGTCTTTGTAACCTATTGGAACTATTAATCAGATGCAAAGTCTTGTAAAAAAGTTTAAATGCAGATACAAATTTAAATAAAGAAATTTCTAAAAAGAGATCCAATTATGAAGTGCAGACACTATATATAACAAGCAGTTGTTACAGAAAATTATAATTTAAAAAGATTGCATATATAAGTTCTTCAAACTAGAATAGCATCAACATTCTTATACCTCCTAATATAGGCAATATCAACATTCTTGCATTCAACTTATAAGATATTTGCTTAGAAGAATAATTAATAGATTGTATAAATAAGTCCTAATTAGAATTCAAGAAGAGAATATAATTAGGAAAATAGTTTGAAAATAACTAATACTAGAATAGTAAAAGAATTAGTAAATACAAGAATGGCCTATAATAAAGAATTAACTTAACCAAAATTAGATGCATCTTTAATATAGCCTAATAATCTAATTATAAAAAAAAAATCTTGAAAGACAATATATAACTTCTTTGTATAATATAAAAATACTAAATTAGGTTCTAATCATACCTATATGAAAGTCTATAACAAAAAAACTAAGTTCAACTAACTAATATAAGATAAAATTTGCAAAATAATATAGCATCACTAAGATTGATATAACTTTCTGAGTATAATCAAAATTGTTTTGCAAATATTATTAAATAAGTTAAAAGCTTGCAATATATAGTAATATAATATCACTAAGATTGAAAAAACTCTCTAAATATAATCAAAATTGTTCTGTTTATAAATATAACAAGTTCCAGTTTTTACTAGTAGTTTAAGCTAACTACAGCATCTATAACTAAGTTAATTTAGCTGGCTTAGCCAGCCAATATAATGCAATTAGCTAGTTAATACAGCTAAAAATTATATGTTTTAGTTTATATTTTGATTCTAAAAATAAATATAAAATTAAGCAAAAAATTTACTAAAATTTTCTAAAAATATGACTATTAGCTAATATATTAGTTAGCTGACTTAGTCTGTTAACTAAAACCTTATAGCTTAAATCACTAGTCTCTATTATAAAAAAGAGCATCTTGTTAAAAGTTAAATGTAGCACTAAGTTATTGTATAATGTTAAAACCTGGGCATCTGCAAGAACAATAGCAGCAGACCTGGCTTAAAATATAGATTTGTTAAAAGACCAATAGCAGCAGCATGTTTGGCTTGAGATATAGAGTTTATTATAGATTCTAAACCATTATCAGAACATTTTAAAAGAATTAATAACAGACATATCAAAAATAAGAAATTATAAGAATTAGATATATTCAAATAGGACTAATTTAAAAATAATACAATAACAAAAAGATAAAAAATATAAAAAATAAGATATTACTAAATATAGTTAGATTAGAAGGCAGAAAAAACAAGACTAGATAAAACATATAAGTAGAACATATGAATATAATTACAGAAAACAATATCTTTGGCATTTAGAATACTGCATTAAAAGTAGAAGGTACATGATTATTTTTATATAGTTTTATATAATATTTTAAAATTTTCATATAAAATTAAAATATACTACTTATTAAACTTTTTTAAATTACAATCAATTTTTATTAAAATTTCACAAAATATAAATAAAATAATTTATTTATTATAATAAAATTTTAAACTATTATTATATTTAAAAAATATATACTTATATATATTACAAAGTTTTTTTAAAATAGCTCAAAAATTTTAAGGGTGTGGGTCCCATAGCTTAGCGGTTAAGCTCCCATACCCTCCACAGTCAAGGTCAACAGTTCAAGTCCAGCT